CCCCCCCCCCCCCCGAAATCGGATCTTATTTACGAATGTACAATTAGTGTGTAAGTTTGTTTATTATATGTCAATTAATAATAAAGCATCACTTTTTTTAAGAATTACGAATGTCTACTGTAAAAGACACTTTTGTCCTCTTCAAGCGGAGTCGTGTACTTCGGAAAATCATGTCTGTTTCAGCAAGAACTGTGTCGAGTTAGGATTGGGAAGGATGTCAATACCTAAGGGTATTTATGGTTGTTAAACTCGTAATTTGTTCATTGAGACTAGTAATTGTTGTAATTATTGTAATTGTTGGTGTGAAATTATTAATTATTAGATATTAATGGTGTCAACCTTTGACAGAGCGGAGTCCATGAGATTTTGAGTCTATTAGCCAAAACAAGAAAGGTCTTTAGGACCGGAGAGAGTACATTCAAACAAACTTAAACCTACAAGTACTTTAAAATAATCAAATGAGTAGTTTTATGACCAAAATAAAATAAAATAACCCTCTAAAAAAGAAATTGGTAACTTAACATGAAGTACTTTCCTCATTCCGAAATAAAGAGTAAATTTTATAAATGGTCTCTAATTATATGTAATTTTTTCATATTTAGTCTTTAATTCTTTGATATTCCATAAATAGTCCAACTTTTAAAAATTATTCAATAAATAATTCTTTAGGCCAATTGTGTCAAAGTATTTTTTCCACCAATATCCCCTGAAAGACCGAATATGAAATATTTCAAAAATTGATGATCATTTATGGAATATATAAGAAATATAGACTAAGTATGAAAATGAACTTGTAACTATAGACCATTTATGAAATTCACTCAAAAATAAATGTTTTGACTTTCTCTTTATCTTTATAAATAAAAGTCTCGTTTTTTTACTAAAGAAAAGAATATACTAATATTGTTCACAATATTCCTTGCTTCTCTACATAACCGCTCATCTTTCATTTTTAAACTAATCTTTTCTTTGAACTTTGTAAAGTAAAAATGCAACAATTCTTTATGGGACAATGAAAAGAATGTGGTCTAAAATATTTCTAACGTTAAAATAAATTTTAAACTCATTTTTCACTATTCAACATTTTAAATCATCGTGAAACAAATATTACTGTAGCAAATTAATTTGGGAGAGAGAGGAAGTACAACTATTGCTCACATATATATACTGCATTTTGAGGTGTCAATATAAATATCACTTCCGAATAAATAACTAATAATAGTCAACATATTCCAATTACATTTCACTTTATAGTTTATATTACACACCCTTCTACGTAGTTATTACATAGCATATTTGCATTTTATCAAACTCACCATAATTAAGTACGATAAGTGTTCCTCTTAGGATACATTGACCACACTTCAATGACCTAAGCATTGAGTAAAAAATTGAAAGCTAAAACCAGACAAAAAATGAACATTTTTCGTCATACTGACTTGAATCAATTCTACACTGGCAAGGTCGAGTAAAAACGAGGACGAGTAAATAAAGAATTGAGGAAATACACATGCCCGAAAACAAGCAATTTTGAGGCATATACGTTGTTAAGTTAATTCTAGATTGACACAATCGCGCAGGAACCGGTCCCGATTTCTACTAGTCCACACAGGTGCCATATACTCTAGAACCATTGTAGAGATGCCCTTTTTGACAAAATGTGATGTTTTTTTGTCCCAAACATGTTTCAAACTCTTTTGGTTGTGCAACTTTTAGCAATCAAGACACCTGGGGGAGGGTAAGTAAGAACAATGGTGCAATAGCCATGGAGCAAATATGAGTACTTGAAAACGCAAACAAAGCTTGTCCGGAACGTGCCTTGCACGCGAAACCACACGCTCCCACCCTCCATCTGCTTGCTTATCAAGTTGCTCTGGTTTGACGAGATCCCGACTTGGGCCCCAGCCAGGTGGACATTTTGAAACTTGTACTCGCCGTGCGCGAGAGGGAAAGAGAGAATGTTGGCGGATGCCAATGGGGTCCCGTAGTGGTAGAGACCCACGGTCGAGTGCTTGAACTCGACACTCCCTCTGGGGTTAGGGTTTGTGAAATTTGCAAGCAGAGTGAGATCGACACTGAGGAGACTTCCCATGTCGAGAGAGACCGCATTCAGGTTGGCATTCGAGATGTCAAACGTCAAGTTTCGTGGTCGGTAGACGAGATAGACAACAAAGATTATTAGGCCTACTCCAATCAAGAAACCACATGCAAGCCATACCAGAGGGGCGGTGGATTTAGTCCGTCCGGTTTGCGGGTAGTGGGCCCGGTTGGGATTTGCCGAACGTTGCGGGTGAGATCCCGGCATCGGAGCCCGGGAACCTAATCCGAAAGCCGGCGGCGGAGGGAGTTTTCTATCCGGTCCGTCCCGTGGAGGATAGCCCGAGGCATCTTCGGGCTCCGATGACGGGTGATGACTCTGGGGGAGAAACGGTTGCGGCGACTGGGGAACCGGGGACTTGTGCGGCGTCGGCGGAGTCCAATACTCAGGCCCATTGGGCTGCTGTCTGGGCCGAGGCTGAATATTGGCCGGCCCACGAGGCACGCGTGGTGGCTCGTCTTCCGCTGTGTAGAAAAAATGAGGATTGGTTTCGTACCCACGGGGCATAATTGGGTAGGGGATGGATGGCTCTCTCACTCTCTCAGGAATACTCAAAACAAAACAAGTACATATATAAAATAGGAGTATATAACTGTTTGTCTCCAGAAAGCAAAGAATAACTGGTTTGCAAGCCAAACAAGGCAAAGTGAACTTCAAGATACTCACTCAGCTTTGCCTTTTAGTGTTTGCTTCAGTGCAGCACAAAACTTATTCCTTGTTCTGGGAAAACATAATGCTTTAATATATTAATTTTTTTTCATTCTTGAAGAGAAAAAAAACTCAGAAAAATCCTACCATCTTCATGACATACAAAAAGCAAAAGCAAAGTATAGTTACAACTTATAGTTGGAAAACCAGACTTACATTCTCCATTCCTGTAAAACAGCAGCCATAACAGTAGTCATCGTGCGATGTGGAAAGGGAGAATTCATTTACTGTTCCATCTCAGATATGCTTTATCGATCTTAGAAAAGCCACCGTAGGGCCCATTGCATTGCCCCTCAATGATTTATATGACAAAGGCTTGCCTGAATTCTCCTGCAAAAGTTGTAGCTTTTTTGCAGTAATAGCTTCACTGATTTGGTCCCATGGGTTTGCATCATTTTCTGCAGATAATGGAAATGCCTTAATGTTAGTGGGACAAAAGTAGTATTTGGATATACATATGATGATATGGGAAACACAAATAGTAGTGGTACCTTTAACGGTGGAATGCATTTTTTCACTGCCATGGATCAAATCTTGGGTTTCTGCAAAGCAACGAACAATGTCGTGAGGGGAGGGGCAAAAATTTTGGGTGGGGGTGGGTGGGTGGGTAGGGGGGGTTAAAAAGCAGTAGCCAGCTGATATAACCATACCAGGTGGAATGGAAGCAGGTGTTTGCACATTGGCAGTAGTAGTAAACAAGGTAGAGTCATCTCCAGCCACGCCGTCATCACAGGAGCTACCAGGAACTCTCGTTTTATGTTCTAGAATACAAACTTCAGCAAGCAAAGAGAAAACTATCTGCATGGAAATTGTAGAACATAATTTTAAGTGGGCCAGAAGCTACTATGTGCAGGTTAGGAAGACGCAAGATATCATGACGTGATTTGGGGGTGGGGGTGGTTAATTTACCTCCAACGATCCGTCCTCTTTATATACACTATCATCAGGTTGCATTGAAGATTCATCATTCCCGTCAGGTTTCTTAATAGGGATTGGAAACTTGGGGACTGGGATTAATGAAACTACACCTGATTGAGAATCATATGATGATACTTCCCCAACCTTCAACAGTAGAGGACATCAGTATTATGTTATCCTATGTATAAATGACCAGAATATCAAAAATCCTGACAAAGATTAAAAATACCCGGTAGGAGGAGAGCTCAGGGGTCCAGGTGGATGATAGCTCAAGCAACCGATATGCAATCACATCACCTTCCTAACATTTCGAATAAGAATGATAAATTTCAGTTTATATGTAAGTCATAAAAAGGAAAGCAAAAATACCTATTCCGGTGGGCTGTTTAAAGCAAAAAATTATCACCAGTAAAATAAACAAACCTTTGGAGATCCAGAGAGGAATGGGACTTTAGTAAAGTCAAATGGCTCAGCAGACTGCTTTAACATTTCAGCATCAGGCATTTCAGATTGTTCTCTGTTTGAATCATTATTAACTTCAACTCTTTGGAAAAATGAAGATTTCTCAGTGCCCCATTTCTGACCCTTTTTCTTGCTGGTGATTCCATTCCAATGATAATTTTTCTGGAACAACAATGACAAAAATGAAACTCTAAGTAGTATAGTAGGTGCTAAATAAAACATCACAAAGAAACAATAGAGCTTAAAGCAGTAAAATTAGTAGGGACACTTTTGGCAAACATAAGGCTTCCACAAAGTGCAAATGTATTACATAGTAAAATGTAAAAAGTTCAATCAGATCCATGAGTAAGACCAAGCATCTTGATCAAAATTGAATCAACATACCATTGCTTTCAATTGAGTCTGTTCCAGAGTTCGTTCTGCATCACAGAAAAATATACCACCTTTAAGTAAATAAATACAATAGCCCAGACAATTATTTTCAAGAGATGAAATTGTAATTCAGCAATGACTTGCCAACAGGCAGGAGTTAAAAGTCAAACTGCGAATGAAGTCATTAATTGTGGATCTAAAGAACCTATTTTTCCCTAATATGCAATAGAATTTGAGTCACTGTAAAAGAACAAACTGAAATGAAGGGACAAAACTTCATGTCTAGTACTCCGTGCATCAAATAAAACGTAACTAACTAATTGGCATTTTTAACAACAAAAACAAAGACCTTTCCCCAAAGGCTCAAATCGGATGTGCCCAGGCCTTATTTCAACAGGAACAACAGTTTCATCATCGCTATCACCATTTTCATTTGGTTTATCACAGGAATTGTTTCTTGCATCTGATGGTATATGTTCCTCAGCATCTTTAACTGTATCACCGGCATGCAATTCATTCAAGTGTAGCTGCAAAGATGACATTTTAATTTCAGACCAGAATGGGATGTGTGTGAAAGGATGAAAACAATAAAACGTATTTGACTACTCACAAGTCCATTTAGTTGATCAGATGCCTCCCCTCTCTCATAGGTACTTTGTCCCTGCTTCAAATTTAGGACATAAGCCAAGTAATAGGGTCTGTTTGATAACATTCCTGACTTGTGTTATATGTCTTCTGCTTTCAGAAATTTTAGTTTTGCTTTCTTTTGTTTCGTTTTCACATTTGAAAAATATTTATCATGTTAACTAAGCCTGTTTTGCATATATGATTTATATTAGTGGTTATAAAAAATAAAACTACACATGTTTAATAAAAAATGTCAAAATACGAAAAAGTGTTTTCAAATACAATGAATATTAGAATATCTCATTTCCTATCTTTTTCAGAAGTCTGCTATTTTAAAACATCAACACTACTGTCAAACGTGTATTCTACCTTTTTGTTTTCAGAAAAGTGAAGACAGAACAAACAACAAAAACATAATCAAACAAAGCCTTGGTAACTCACATTTCCTACTCTTACATCCTCTCCATTCTTCACCCCGGTTTGCCCATGGGTCCAGTTTCTCTGACCATTCATGATATAAGTGGTCAAAAAAGGATAGTGATTAGCATCTGACATGAGTGAACTGTATGCATTTAGTAACTCACGTGTACTTTTTGTAGACTTACACCCTCTCCACTATTCACTCTACTTTGTTCTTGCTTCCAATTTTGCTTCATGTTTTAGGATATGAACTGTCAGAGAATAGATATTTGCAGAGCATTTGACACACAGAGTATGAACATCTAGTAACTCACAGGTCCATTTGGCTTATTGAGACCCTCTTCACTCATTACACTAGCCTGGCCCCATTTTGTGTTGTGCTGCAAATTCAGCATACGTTAAATTAGTGGTGCGCAAAACACAGAAGCAGAAGCTTTATGCAAAATTACTGAATCTACTTGTCTGCTTGGTAGGCCAAATGCCTCTCCAGATTTATAAGAATGCATTGCTTTCCACTGTTTCCAGTTTCTATGCAAAATCAAATAATTAAGAATGTGGTTTGCTTAAATATACTCCATCCGCCCCAAAATGTTGGTTTACTTTTCCATTTCTGATTATTTTAAATTATAGTGCATGTCCATTAATCCATTATAGAAAACTTGAAAATTATAATAAGTACATGTTGTACTGAAATTTCCACGGGCATTAAATACAAAAGCTATGGAGAAGCAAAAAGCAGAACTCACTGCATAAGAGTTGGGAAAAGACCTTCAAATTACTGTACACCATATGGAGGATCACTCATTTTCCTCTGGAAAGTAAAAAAGTAAGTTGAACTTGTTGTACTAAACAATTTCTCCGGTACTCTTTAGTTTATATTTACATATTTCTCACTCTTTTCTAGGAGGGACTAACATTATAGGACGGAGGAAGTATAAGTGTCTAGCATAAAATATAAAAGAGTAGCTTCTCTTCATATTATAATACTTGGAAGTACTATGCTTTTTTTATCTACTCACATTTCCATTTGGCTGAACAGTTGTCCCTTCTGTACCAACTTTAGATTGCATCTCTTTCCAATTCCTCTGCAAATTTGTGAATAATTTTAAAATACAAAAGAACAAATCAAATACTCCCTGTCTTATAAGAAGAGCAATTGATCACCAACGTACACTTTTAGTTCTACTAAGTTACAATTATTGGAAATCATCAAATATGGCTACAATTTATTTTTAAAAAAAAATTTATTTGTTGGTTTTACTAAATTTAGCACTCAACTTGATAGGGTCACCCATCTTTAACTCTTTTTATGGAACAGATGGTGTAATAAGTAAAAGGTGGTGTCTGTGTATACTTACAAGTGCTTCTGATCGAGAATCAATATTTATCTTCTGAAATCCAGAAAACAAAGTAATTAATGGTGTCCATGCCACGGAAACAGTCAAACAGAAGAGTTATGCTTAGTTATATTAGAATACTCACATGACCATTTGGCCGGCGAGCTGCAATTTCTCTAGCAGATTCAGATTGCATTGCTTTCCAATAGTTCTGTGAAATTGAAAACAAGTTTCCAATAGAAATACAACACCCCAGTAAGGTCCCACAAGTGGGTCTTAGAAGGGGAAGTGTACGCAAGCCTTACATCTACTTATAAAGGTAGAGGCTGTTCGCGAAATAAAATATACAAAATGTGAGTACTCTGGCATATACTTACGAGTGCCTCTGCTTCAGTATCCGCACTTGATTTCTGAAAATTCAGGAGACAAGTTATGACACAACCTATAGTTCAGAAATAGGAGAGTTATGCTTATTAAGGATACTGTTGCTCACATGTCCATTTGGTTGGCCAGCTGACTCTTCTCTTACAGGTTTAGATTGCATTTCTTTCCAATTTCTCTGCAACATTAAAAATAGAAATAAGCAGCTTAACACAATCACAATGGGGGTGTTCAGAAA